TTTTGGTTAAACTTGTTTGGACTTATTGTACAAACCTATTTAACATCCACTATTTTAACATAATATTATGTATAGAGTTTAATTCAGTGTTTGCAAGATTAATTCCACTATTTTTAAATTAATGTCTATATTGCCATGAAGCAATTACGATTCTCTTGCCCGGGATCTTCCTATTGGTGACCTAATCAAAATGGCCGACTTGGATGTGGGCAGAGTTGGATATGTACTGGCTTAATGGTAGCATGTTATTATTAGCCATTAGCCACAGCTAGCAAGGCTAACGCCTTGTTAATGATCATAAACAACCTAAATAAATACATAAATAAATCAGAGAGAAGGGGCTCGCACGGTGGTATCAATACTTTTGAAAATGAGTATCGTATCCGGATACAACATTTTAGTATCGATACTTTTTCGGGTATCGATACTTTTGACAACCCTAGTATGAATGTTTGTTTTTCGGGGTGACGTTGAAAAGCCAGGCTAATCAAAATCCCCCCCCCCCACAGCCGCCACGGGAGACATCCCGGCCTATCAGCTGCGCTCGCCCACCTCGGGCCTGGCCCAGAGCATCGTCATGGCCGCCTCCCCCAGCAGCATGCAGAGCCCCTCCTCCCACCACGCCGAGGAGGTCACCCGCAAGAGGGAGGTGCGGCTGATGAAGAACAGGTAAGGGGGGGGGGGTCACCATGACTCAGCAGTTAACATTCCAAAGCAGAAATGCTTTATATTAACCTGTTAGGTCATCATACACTTTTATATTTGTGGCAGTATGACACCATGACTTGGCAGTTTACCTGTCAGATCATTATATACTTTGATGATTTTGGTATATGACACCATGACTCAGCAGTTTACCTGTCAGATTAGAAATACTTTATATTAACCTGTTAGGTCATCATACACTTTTATATTTGTGGCTGTAGGACACCATGACTCAGCAGTTAACCTGTCAGATCAGAAATACTTTATATTAACCTGTTAGGTCATCATACACTTTTATAAAATACTTTAATAAGGCCAGAGGGAAATTATTATTATTATTTTTTTCATCATACACTTTGATATTTGTGGCTATATGAGACCATGACTCAGCAGTTAACCTGTCATATCATCATACGCTTTTTATATTTTTGGCTGTATGACACCATTACTTGGTAGTTAACCTGTCACATCAAAAATACTTTAAATACTTTAATAATCCCAGAGTGAAATTATTATAATTATTTTTTTCATCATACACTCCTATATTTGTGGCTGTATGACACCATGACTCAGCAGTTTACTTGTCAGATCATCATATACGTTGGTATTTGTGGCTGTATGACACCATGACT